AGTTTGTTGACTAGACTCGTACTCCTTAAAAAATATTGAGTACCCCCAAGTTGTACGCGTATCAGTTTGAGAACTACTGATGTAGAGTATAAACATGAACATGGATTATAAATAAAACAAATGCTTATCTGACATGCAGATGTATTTTCCACAATTTACCCAAAACTGCAAATTACTGATTAGTATTAATAAATATGAATCGCGACTGTGTGTTTGTGTTCACATTCTATCAATGTCCAGTGCCACAGTGTTATACTGTTATTATTGCAATATTGTAGTCTCAACTCTCAAGCAGAAACTTGTATTCATTTTTATATTTATTATTTTATTTACGTATTACGTTATTTATTTAACACATCCGTTAAATTTAATTTAAATTACATTCTGTTGAAAGATGAATTCACTTGTCCCAGTTGTGGAAAAAATCGTGATTTTATGAACAATATCAACTGGATTCGATACAAGGAATATTGTAAAAAAAATATTAAGTCTGTTAAAAGAACTGTTTCAAGTTATATTTCAACTTTTTTAAACTTACAGAACGTGATGGAAAATTTCCAAAACTTGAACAATCAGGTAAGTAACTTTGTAATTATATTTAATCTATTAAAAATATTTACATTTTTAAACTGTAATTATTGTTGGTTATTTAAATTAATTATTTATAAAAATCCTGTTCAAAATCCATTCATAGTTATTTGCTAATATTTAGATATATACATAGTACATAATTTTTTGGGGAATTGCATGGAATTGTAACATTTATGCGAGCCAGGAAAAGAACTGCTATATTTTATGAATGCCAAAAAAAATTAAACATTGGATCTAAAGCTAAAGATAGAATTCGAAAAATCAAAAATTTCTCAGATACACGGTGGACGTCCCATGATCGTGTTATTACAGTAATACATGATAAGTATGAAGCTTTAAAAAAATACTTTAGAATTGTTATTAGAATCCATCGATAGAGTAACTACTTCAAATGTAAAATCGTTTTTATTTATTATTTTTTCGTTTCATTTTGAATTGGTTCTTAAGCTAATGAAAAGCAATAACTACACCAACTTCATATTATCTGCAATCAAAAAGCATTGATTTTATTCAAGCCATTAGATTGGTAGATGAAACTAAAAAAAGATTATTAGAATTGCCTTTCGACAAATGTTACCGAGAACTTGTACAAAATATCAAACAATTTACTTATGAACAGAATTTCTATGAAAATGATTTTAAAAAAACTCCAAACGAGGAAAACCAAAAGAATGCCAAAAGATAAAATGTACAAAATGAAATCAGTTCCTCAGCATCAGACAAGTTAATAAATTATTTAGCATTAAAATAATACTATTAATAATTCTTGAATGTGTATTTTTTATTATAGGTTTAGAGTGAACATATATTACAAATATTTGGACCAAATAATTTCATCTTTAGACAATAGATTTAGTAATGCCAGAGATATACTGAAATATCTTGCATTACTATCCCCAGAGCGGTTATTTGAAGCTAAATATAAATCTGAAATAAATCTTCCAGATTAATGATTTTTAGATTTGTCTACATGAATTACTGATATTAATCCATATCAACTTAAAACAGAGTATTTATTATTTAATAAAAGCTTAAAAGAATTGATTAATGGAATGAAATTCCCAGATAATCAGTCTAATAAATCATCTGATATTAACTTTGAATTCATGCTCAATCGTGTGGTTTTTGGGTTTTTTTTTTTGGTTTCTATTGTTTGATTACAACCGAACTCAATCGGGTTCCAGCCTGATTGACAACTCGAATTTAAAACTGTCTGGTTTTGAGTTGTCCCGATCGATTCGGACAACATTAAATATAATTTTCTCTCACCAAGGGAAACGTAAAAACCTGTTACACAAATGGAGTTTCTCAGAAACATCTATTTGTACATGCGGTGAAGAACAAACATAGTTCTGAATTGTCTCTAAACAAATTCACAGTGGCAATACCTAAACGATAGACTGGATGCGCGAGCTGATCATACGTCTATAGAACTCTATTAGTAATTGTTTACTGATAGTACGTATAATGACATAGTGTAGCACACTTGATACTATAATGAGTGACATACGTTATAAACATGGGCGTATTATGGATAAAGATATGGAAGCTATAGCCCAACAGAAACTTCTGTAGTTATTTACTTTCATTTCAAATATTTTATCCGAAGTTATGGTTTTTAATGTTTTTATATTTTGAAATACACCAAGGTTTCAAATATTAGCAGTGTAATGTTTATAGACAATTATTGCACTTGCATACATATATCAATTTATTTTTAAATATAAACATGTTTATTTATAGATAATAAAATATGATAAATAAAGAAAACTTAGAAATATATGATGTAATACCTATATGTGGACAATAATATTTTTCCAAATTTTTATAAACTCTTACAAACTGCACTGACTATACCATGTCATTTTCCCCTTTAATTCAAGTTAAACACAAGGAGTTTTTGGAATACATTTTTGTAGACCATTATAACACTCACAGATAATTATAACTAGAGCGCGGATTTCTATGCAATTGCATATTTTTTTCCTTTCAATATTTTTGGATTTTTGTCAGTCATCTCCACGAATCATCATAATTCGAAGCTAATGGTGACATTTTTTTCGCATATTTCTGCATATTTTTGCATATTTTGGCAAAATTCAAAATTTATTGCATATTGAAGTGAAAATTTAAAAAAAAATGTATAAAATAATATTTTGTCAAGTAGAAAAATTAAAACTAAATTTCATAGTCACTAAATAATAATTTATGTATATATATTTAGTTGTAAAATAAATAATCGATTACAACGTAAACTTAATCGCTCTTGTTGTGTTAGTCGGTTATCGACATACCACTTGCTTCAAATATGCCCCAATAACTTCGGTTGACATCGAATGTTCGTTTTCAGTCTTTAAAAATATGTTAACCGATAAACGACGCAGCTTTACAAAAGATAAAATTGAAATGCATATGATTATTCATTTTAATAATAAATAAAATTTTAAAAATAAATTAAGTTCAGAAAATTCCCTAAATTTTTTTGTATTAATTATTTAAGTAATTAATTATTATAATTTGACTTATACATTTTAAATAAATAAAAAATTCTTGCATATTTTTTGCATATTCATAATTTTAACTGCATATATTTTGCATATTTTCATGATTTTTACTGCATATTATATAGCATATTTCGATACTTTTAAGTGCATACAAATCCGCGCTCTAATTATAACAAACTACGCTCATGATTATTTATTATATTAAACACAGGTCTCTATTTAAAAATTTTGTGCTCCCGGGCACATTATTTATGCCCCCCCCCAAAAAAAAAAAAAATAAATAATAATAATACAACACTTATTATTTCGTCCATAATCGAGATTCTTTAATATTAAAATATAACTTATAAATGAAAATCGTTTAATACTTTTTTTAATAAACAAATTATAATATAATAAAAATACAATTTTTTTTAAAATTACAAACTATAACATAATAAAACATACTATTTTCTTATTTTTACTGTTTTATTTTTTTTCATTCGGTACATCATTTTTAAAATTAATTTTGCTAAAATATTTTGCCGCCCCTGAGACTTGACGCCCCCGGGCATGTGCCTACCCATGACCCCCTAAATACGGGCCTGAATATACAGTATTATACAAGTACACATAACACTAGTGGATTAGGCAAAAACATCAAACGGTACTTGAACTATAGTTGCTAAAAGGTCGGTCCTCAGAGATTATAGTTATAAACGTTCACAAATTGGTTAATCAAAAATGTAATTTTGGTTTAGAAAATTCTCAGAAATATTTTCCGTATACCTTTTCTCAAATATTTTCAGTAACAATAAATAGTTGAATAATAAATGGTTGCTTTTGGGGAGCACTTAATTCGCTTCTTTGGCATCTTTTAATTAAAAATTCTTAAACATTATAGGTATTCACCACTACGGCATATTATACAGCTACGCAATTATTAACTGTAATTTATACGTCTAGAGTCTACACTGTAAACGTGTACATATTATGTACCTAACATGGGCGCCCGCAGGGGGGGGGCAAAGGGGCCATTGCCCCTACTGGAAATTTTTGTTTCAAAACTATTGTTAATTTAATACCACGTATATTAATTATAACATAATTTTATTGAGATCCACTGATGAAGTTAAAATTTATTATATTTTTAGATATTCTAAAATGTATAATCTTGAACGTATTTATTTGTTTACAATGTTCACACGTGACTGCATATCGCTTAAGACTAAATTCTCCCGAGTACCGCTTTCTATGGTATTTGATTTTGTTCTCATATATTTATAGATACACGTTGTGACCCTTAGAATTTTAATCTTGCCCCGGGTGGGATTTTATCCTGCGGGCGCGCTTGGTACTAAATTAAATATTTCATTACAGTACCGTAGATATGATTGACTTATAAATTACGATATTTTGAAAATCGCAGGAAATATTTACACACTGCACGTTACGTAATCTTATAACCGCGATCGTAATACGCGTAGTGAAATTAAAAATAATATATAGTTTATACCTTTTGATTTACATCTATAGTACACGTACGTTACGTGAGTATCGGAATAATGACAGCTGTGATTTGAATACAATAAACATGTATGTTGTGCCTGTAGAATTCTAAACTTTGCAATTTTCGTTCGTCGAAACGACGAACACCGCAGGTAGTGAAACTCACCTATTCGTGACGGGTAAGGATTTCGTCCGCGAAACCGTATGAAAAAAAAATGAAAAAAAAAAAAGTTTACAATAATAATAATGAATTGACGTCGCATTTCGTTCTGTAAGAATCCCGAAGAACCGCAACGATAACGTGCACGCGTGCAGGCAGCGGGTGAAGACGACGAGGCCGTCGCGATCGTTGTTACCGCGGTCGCGTGCATAGCAGTTGGTACACTCTGCGCGGCAGTACTATCGCTGCACAGTTGGTAATTGGTTGTCCGGTGAAAAGCCGCCGGCCGCGCGAGACTTCGTCGGAACCACTGCAGAGTCAGTGCACCAATGGCTAACGTCGTTGTCCGTTGACAGTCGCTCTTGAACGGTCCAAGAGAAAATTGCGTTAATCGTCCGAACGTCGTCTATGAAGTTGTGTATCGTTACGGCATTATCGTCTCTTAAAACGTACGCAGTGCGCGACGCTTACGATATTAGTTTTTTATTTTGTCTTTTTTTTTTTTCTTAATTTTCACCGTCTTTTTACCGGTTTGCTCAAGACCAAAAGCCATGCGCAACCAAACGCGGTTATTACGTAGTGTCTGTTAACTGGTACATATCTTGCGGGTTTGTTGTTTACAGTTCGGACACATCGTCGAGGAAAAGCTTGCGCGCCCAAGGAATTTGCCTATGTGATTTTCCGGTGAGTTTTTGTGACGAATTTTTAATCATTTTCCCTTCCCTCGCAACATACTCCTATAGGATATTTTTACAGAATAATCCTGGAACTTTCGATGTTCGACCCATGTACAGATTTAAACGGTTTTCGTACACCTCGTAGTCATCATTCATGAATAGCGCCGCTGATAGTGACTTTATTCCTCTTCACCTCTCTTTCACCGTTACGTGTGTAACAACGTTGTGATCGTGTAGGTAACGTTTCGAACGATACGAAACGCAACAAAATAATAATAATAATAATATGATACTACCGCACCTTGTGTGTGCTCGTACAAAAAACAGGTTCGGCCGGGGGGGAAGAGCGGAGCAGCGGATACCTGCCCGCCCAGTTCACCCTACAGCCAGTCAGTCAGGTGAAATACAATGGGTTACACACATTCCGTTCGGGTTTTGGGGTTGTCTACTTTTCACTCTCGCGTTCCTCTTCGCCGCACCTCCTCTTGGTCATTTGTATTATAATTGTTAGTGTGCACATATACGTACACGTCTATCCGGTACATTTGTACGTGGTTACGTGTCGGTAGCATTATGTGCAGTGAAATCATGGTTTTTTTATTCAAATATAATATTATCCATTTTATTGTTCCTGTTCCGTAGACAACGTCATTGGAAGCAGTAGTAATATTAATACGCTAGGTTAACGTATCGAGATAGAAAAAAATCCTATGTTTAGTATTGGTAGGCGTTCGAGTGATGTTCGAGTGTATTTCACTAGGATGTTCATCGGGTTCGCGATATCACTTTGTAATCGTTTAGTTGATTTGTTTTTAGTAATTTTTTTCTTCACATTCTATCATCATTATATAATCTTGTATAGTTTTGCGAGCGATTAATTATTGTTATCTTCGAGTCGCATTTTAATCCGGCCCCTGTTTTAAATAGGATTTAATAAAAATCTATATGTTTGCCGACGTATAATTGTCCATGCTACACCTAATAGCATGGCAAAAAAGCAATACTCGTCGCGTTAGTCTTCTCTCTCGTACACTTGACGTATTCAGGAATTAAACGAGTGTTATGCACCGAGATTAAAATACGACCGGCAATATTTTGTTACTTGTTTCGAAAAGGGGTCATAATTTATTGACAGTAAGGTGCAACATTTTATTTAAAACCAGTTTTTTTTGTATGCCATCGTGTAAATCATTAATTTTAAGTAAAAAATAGTTGTGAACTTCCATATTCACAATCCGGTTAGTGGTATTAATTATTTTTTTTTCGTTTCATTTTATTTAAATTTTGCATTTTTACATTCTTCAAATAAATTATACAGTGAAATCAAAAGTCAACGAAAGGAGACTTTTATATGCATATATTTATTGAACGGCCCATGGCTATTTCCAGTTAAAACATATTGATTTTTCGTTCATCGCGATAAAAACGTAATACAATAACATAAAACTAATCAGTCGAGTAAACAATTGGTAACACGCGGTGGAGCTTGGCATCAATATTATAATAATCAAGTTTGTGTTTGATATGATAGTATATATAGTATAAATAAGTATAGCATTTTGATGTACAAAAACTACCTAATACTGCTTTTTGCAAAGTAATTACGTATACCTATAGTCGTAGTTTTAATCTCTAGGACTCATCAGGTAAAAATATGATTAAAATCTAGTAATATATTCTTTCACTCATAACGTCTTTCTCTAAATGTTAATTTTGCAATTATGTTACCGTCAAATGATAATTTCACTTTCCATACCATACAATTATCCGAAAGGTTCAAAAACCATATCCATCTTAATGAGGATAACACGTCTTGTTCGTAAACTAATCAATTTTTATTTACCTAAATGTAAGAATTGTGGAGATTAAAGCAATATTTCTCGTTAATAGTTGCGACATATTGGGCACACTTAAAAACGGGTTCCGATGTACATAAGTCGTTAAAAAACTTGACCCGTATAGATTTGGTGGAACTAGTATGACTCCGGTTCTCGGTGGGTTGAGCGGTTTTGTCGTAGGATGTGTATGGATACCGATTGAATCATAATACTACGTTTATATTTCCAAACAACCCATGCTATAATAACAATTAAGTGGCATTAAGTTAATTAGTGTGTAATGACATTAGATTATTATATATCGTTTCTGTCAAAGAAGACCAAGAAGCAACCAATGCATTATAATCGTGTAAACACGAAGAAAAATGTTTGATCTATGGCTTCCGAAAGCAATATCAAAACCGAGTGTGTTTACGATATCCGACAAGCTATAATATAAAAAATTACTGGGTTCGTCTGGCTTAAATTTGAAATATTTTTCGTATAAGCTCATTATGTATATTATTATTTATATTATATAATTATTATAATAGCATAAGTATACTAGTTTATTTCTGGGAGTTTTTGTTTTTAATATACCTAAATTAAAAATAATTATCCAAAATATATACTATAAATTAGTTAACCAATCTACAATTCCCATAATGAAGTTGATAACTATGAAATGTTCATAAATTATTCAAAAAATTGGATCTAATAAAATGTTTTACAGTAAAATGTAAAATCTTTGCAATAAAACTATTATTTATCAGTCGTATATTTTGATTTTTCAATAAATTGACTTATTGATGAACTGTAAAATAAGTAAATGTTTTGTAATGTTTACTATTTATGACCATGTATATAATTTAGTGTATTATATCTCAGTACTCGTACACTCATATACTTATCATAAAGTGATATATTGTCTATAACGAGTCGTAAGGTTGGGTTTTCCGTCATGACTGAATCGTATAGAACCAAAAAAATATTTTTTTTTTTTTTTGAACAAGATTTGTTTTGACAAGATTTTTTATATCCAGTTATACCATATGATTTGTGATTGTATAAAATAAATCTAATTATTTTAGGATTTTATATTATCTTAAATTCCTCCTAAATGAATATCACTAAATTGGTACACTATTAATTGCTACACATTTATAAAACATATGATCAAGAAAATTTATACATATACTGATGTACAAACGCTTAGGTGTATGTAGAAAAAATACAGGTGCAGTAGATTATATATATGACGAGTTGTTATATTCATGTACCTAGCGGCTTCGTGGCTTAATTAAATATAATAATACAAAGCCCGTTTGCGACCTTGTTTAGACGATAGAAATGCGTCGTGAATAAATCGAGAGCAATAAAACCAGGAACTGATTCTGTGACTATAGACCTGACAATATTTTTTTCAAGTGATCTACATCGAATAACAATAACTTTTCAAACATTTTTCTATTATATATAATGATAGAAATTATATGTGTTTGGTTTTGCTATAACAAATAACTCACATAGGTGTTGAAAAATATTCAGATTTGTTTATACCACTTAAATTATTGTAAATGTTGGGTACTAAGATTATATAATTATATTGAAGTAATAAATTTTTTGATAATATTTTTATCCACTGTTAACTTGAGTACCGATGTCAAATTGCATAGAAGAAAACGATAGAAAAGAGCGCGATTATCGATGGGATAATTTCAAAGGTACATCCATCGAAGAAAACAAATATTGTTGGTAATTTGCTTGTATAGAATAGGAAGCAACTGAAATTATTACTTGAAATTTGTACGTAATGGTCTTATGATACCATTAACATCAGTAATTTGCAATTACTTCGTTACTCGTTTAACAATGAGGTAACATGCACTAGTTGAGTTTTTTATAAAATATAAGTAGTGTGTTTTTTAAATTAAGAAAAAATAATATATGTGTGTATGTTTTTTTTTTTAATAATTTTAGTTAAGTTAAATTGCTTTCAATATATTAAATTTTACATACTAGTCAACATAATTACCATATTATTTCACTATTAAAAAAATTCACAATTTTTTAGTCAAAAAAGGGTTTTTAAATTAATTAAATTTAATCTTTCATTACGCTTATTAAATTTGATCTCTATTTTAGTTTTTACTGTGTAAGCAAATTTACTAAAGTAAAAATAATTGTACGTATTCAATCAAGTTAGTATTACTTTTATAATCAACTTGTTTAATTATTAAAAATATGCAGTTTCATTGAACGTAGCATATAAAAATATACATATGGAGAATTTGTCTTTTCTTTTTTATTATGTTGACTTAATCAAATATAAAATAACTCGTTCAAGGCCTTATGTCAAAAATTAATCAAAAAAACAAAACATCTTACCATATTTTTGAAAACTTACGCTAACAATGTAAACTCTTAATAACAAAACAGTGCCGAAAAGAAAGATATCGAAATCACAACAATAAGACCAAAATATAATAGTTATAATAACCGGTGTCAAAAATATTTTAATGGAACTTGTCTACACTTATCTTTGGATATGCTCCAATTTGACAACGATATCGTTTATCGTTCGGTCATAATATATCCTATCTTCCACAATTCGCCTTGGGGTGCATTGACCATTAGCTTGAGGATCAAACAAATATAATATATATTTTTGTAGGTAATAATATTTTTGAGTGCTATTATTGTTTCATATTTTTTTACATTTTTATATCAATATAAATATAAATGATTATCAAACATTTTTCTATTAACTTGTGAGTGCCTATAATTTAGTTTCAAATAGAAAATAAATTTTAAGTTTATAGTTTAAGTTATATTTAATTGATAAATAATCTTCAATATTTGATTAATATTTTAACAGAAATATTAAATGAACCATTCTAACTATTCTAAATTAATTATTATTTGCTAATCACTAACCGAAACTTGATAGAAATCTACATTCCACTGATCAACTTGTATACAATTTACGATAATGTAATGAAGCTATATTATATTATGCAGAAAATATATGAATGAAACAAAAAGGAAAAATCTTCTTTCACAATTGTCTTGTAATATTATTTGAGTACATTATACGATGTACAATACTAGAAAATATTATTTGTACAGGTACACCTTTCACATTCTAAAGGAGCTCAAGGACCGTAATCACAATTCTATCGAAGATTCTAGGCTTTACGAATTAATTTCAGTAATCGAAGATTGATTGGATTAAGTTCAATGCATACATTATTACATAATTATATATATATTCTACATAATTTTATGTTAAAGATAAAAAAATTGTATCTCAAATTGAGACACCAAATTACTAATTTTTAATTAGCTATAGGTATATTGTAAATTAAATATTAAATTTAGTGTTCTAAGGTTTTTATTAAAATTATATTTTATCAGTTGGTGAAGCAATATTTTCAATGTTTTAAATATTATGCAGATTCATAATATAGTAATAAAAACATGTAGGTAGTATCTATAATTGTATTAAATAACCACGTGTGTGAACTTAAAGATTTAGATATTATTTCTACAAATAACAAGACTATTTGGATTATTCCATATTATCATTAAATAATATCTCTAAATTAATTATAACTACACATGTTATTGATTAGATACAAATATGTAATATTAGAATAATATGATGTAATCATTGTTTTTCAGTTGGAAATTGTATTTACTTTTGGATCTCGCAATATTTGTCTATACTTATATTTAATAAGTATATTATTTTTTAAATACTCATGACTATTATACTATTTACCTAATGCAACTTTATCTGATTATTATTAATAGTTATTTTTAAATTAAGTTTTATGAATATTTTAATTTTTGATATATATATATATATATGTATATTGATTAAAGTATATTACTCATTTCATTAAACTCATTACAAATAAATAATTACTAAAATATTTTGCTTCAACATCATTTTAAAAAACCTAAAAATTATATTTTAATGTTTCTTCTAAATTAAGTGATAATGAAACGAAAAATATAATTATTGTTTTTCTTCACATACTATTACTGAGCAATAAGCACGTACGCAATTAATCTTAGTAATTAGTTTGTTTTTATTTTTCGCAAAACTGTTTGATCACCGTGTTGTTATACCTATGTGTACACCTATAATTGTATGTGTATAGTTTATCGAAATAATAAAGCTTGGATGCTGTTGATTTTCTGTCGAAGTATAAGTTCATATATTTGGATGACTTAGCTACTTAAAAATCGAATATATTAAGCAAAATTTAATATTACTTAGTTTTAATAATAAATGCCCAGAAGATCGCAATACATATACTCACGTAAAAATATTTGCAGACGAACCACGGTCACTGACCGCGGTAAATATACAACTCCTAAGCTGTACCACTCGGGCATTTGGGTTAGAGTTTCGATAATAGTTGGCCGTGTCGTTGTAACAACCGGTTCCTTGCATAATATTCACGTCTTTCCTTAATGAGCAAATATATCGTTTAAACGTTTTTAGAACGGGTTCCCACACGTATAACTATATTATGTCGTATGCACGACATACGAATATATTCGTGCATTGAAGTTTGTTAATGTAAAATATATGAACATATAATACAACATAAAATATTATTATTATTAATACTATGACGATGAGCGATCAGATATTTTGTCATAATAATTGGTAAAGTGATGTATCGTAAATTATAATGTAATATACCTATATACCACAGTGTGATTAAAAATGGGCAACGAACCGAATATAGGTATTCAAAGTATGGTCGAACTTCGACTTTGGAAGTGTTCGCATGTGTTAGGATCTACGTATTGTGTGGACAATTATTTGAGCACACACCCCATTTGTTTGCGCTGTGGCTGGCACCTGGAAGGTGGATCAGAATCGAGGACAGTTGCCTGCCTGATGGCGCCCCCTTATAATTAGGATATTGTCTGTGCATATGTTTCGGTTTGAAATTCAATGCAACGGCGATATATGTTTAAAGCGTTGTATGTTTTTTTCTTCTTTAAATGGAGGTCATGGCTACGGTTCGTTGAGAAAAAAAGGTACCACCTATATCATAGCAATGAAAATAATAATAATAATATGTACTTAATGACATTTTTTTTTCTAAATACCAACTGACTGGCGCATTCGGAATGTTGAGATATTGGATAAGTCAAAATGTATTCACTATAAGTCTGGACAGAGCTAAACTATTGAGATAAACGTAACGGCTATAAAGTATAAACTAACTACGGTTGTATACACGCACATTTAGTTAACCGGGTTGTCAGTGAATCTGACTTATTTATGTGCTGTATGAGTGATGTATATATATATTTTTGATTCCTATTATATGAATCGTATCTAAAAATTATAAAGTAAAAGGATATAATTTATAGGCTAAAGTAAGACGTGTTCCGCGTGTCACGGTGTGTACATCAATTAAAAATTAACGCTTTCAAAACATTTCTGAACAACTACTCGTATAGTGTAGAAATATATATTATCTTAATGTGTATGTATGTAACAACCGTGAATACTTGAGCTGTTGTTGTTGCATCGTATTTGTATATTTTATATAGACGAGTGCAATCGGAAAAACGCTTAGAACTGTAACAATTATGTCATGTGATAATTTGCGAATTTCTATTTCCTCCAAGTTTTCACAAAGCCTTTCAAGTTAAATTGTGGTACGATTACAGTATGAACTTTTAAAAAATTGTATGTATGTATGTATACTCAATAAAAATTTAATTAAAAAAATAATTATAAAATACGGTGGTTGAAATGTGAAGATGCATTTCAATTATCAGATGAAACAAATTTATTTATTCAGACAATATCACGTGTTATCTTTTAAAATAATTTCAATTAGGTACCTATCCAAAGTTGTATACTATTATTTTTTTTAATGGAAGCGATTAAATTATCACTACTAATTGGTTTTATTGATTATACACATATTATTATAGGATAAACAACATAATATAAACGCGGTGTGTTTTATCAAATAATTTAATTGAGAAATCGTCATGTTGGGTTCCTGCGTTAACGTTTGGTTGAAGTTCATGGTTGTTAATACAATAATACATATACACTAGCATTTTCTTTCCATTTTAATCAGTCAAGGGCAATGGAAAAAATATTAAAGATACAACATTATTTTCAATGTTATCAATTTAGATGCAAATAATCCATGTACAATTTTTGGCTACCCACGTAGATCTAGATGGGAGGTCTTCGTATTAATTTATACAAGGTGACCGATTTGTTTGTACAATGTGTATACTGCTCCCTATGATTTGTACATTGTAGATTCCTAGATATTTTACACATGTATTTTCATAAATAATTGTTCTCGTTTTAAACACGATCCTTGACACTATTCACATGTTACGTATTTTTAACTAAGCAGCTTATAAATTTTCCAAGTACGAGACCCTGATGCACCATTGCACTTTTTACAAGGTAGGGAAAAAACTTTTTATTAGGACCTAATATTATTTCATATTAGTTGTAAATTGTAATGAATTTCGATTTGTAAAATAAAATATTATTTTGAACATTTGATTTTACGTTGTGATATAATAATAATTTAACTCACGTGATAATTTTTATTATACTTCAGCTGGTTTTATTCGAGTTTTAATAAAAATAATTCATAATGAATTTAAGTAACGATGTTCTTTAATTGTATTGCACGGTCTGTGAAGTAAATAAAATTGAAGATGCTCATATATGTGTAACGAACTATTTATTCGTTGTAGCATACTGTCAGTTTTACCCGTTTCACTTTTATCGTATCATTGTGCTTTTTATTCGTAATTTTACTTATACAATAATTCATGTACACTTAAACTAACAAGCAACATACATTTTTTTATAATTTTTATTTACTTAAATTGCAAAAAAATGCAATTTTCCTATGACTTAGTACCTATATATTGTATCATATAGATTGTAATTACTTTTTTATGATTTATAATTGTATTCGTAAGTGTAATTTATATTGAAAAAAAACTGATTTATACATTGAAAAATGATTCATTAAAACATATAAAACATTTTAGTTAAAAAAAGTGTATAGTTAATAAATCGTATTTATTATCAAACAACTACCTATTAAAATTTACGTAAAGAAAGGAAATTTGAATTTTAATGGTTTGAAGTATCATATTGCTATCTTCAAAACTATTGTATAGTTTTACATATTTTAAGTAGAATGATAATAGTTTAAAAACTTCTATCCTAACCATTATGTATTAAATATTTGTTATTTTTGTATTAATGTTAATTAATAAAACTGATAAAACTATTTAAATTTTTTGTTACAGATAAATAGATCTAATGCTTGTGCCATAATGAAGCACGAAAGTCAGCACCCAGAGCTTATTCCAACCGGAAAAGGAAAACCATTTAAGAAGAGTATTAGTTTAGGAGCCTTGGGTTTGGGTAAACTGTGGCGAAGGCGTTCTGTGACCATAACCGAATACGATCCATGTTATAAGGTCGTTTATTTGGGCAACGTCCTTACTGGCATAGCTAAAGGTATGTTTACCCTATATTTTTTTGATTTTCAAATGATTTCAACTTTGGAATTTCGCCTTAGTTGGGAAAGCTATTTGAATGTGTTTTATAAATTATGACTCTCACATCCTAAGTTTGTAAAGAAATATCAACATATTTGATTTTGTTAGATCGAAAAGTCGTATCGAAAATCTTAGGCATTATGTCAATCAGAAATATTTTCTTATCAAAAAAAAAATAAAATAAAATAATTTACTTGAAATAATTGTTGTAATCTTATTTTTGTAGGTACTTAATCTTTTTAAATTTGTATGTTATATTTCATTAAATCATCGTAAGTATTAATTATAAAATTATATTGTAATTTTATTGATAAAAATCCTGTATAAAATGTACAATTTATGAAGTATATAGATTTTATACAGAAATATTTTGTTTTAAATGAGATATTAGTCTTTTAGTATTACTTTTAAACTCATATTACGGAAGACTTAATTTTGTCTATAATTGAAATTCAATTCTGTTCTGATCCGGTGTTTTTCTTGTATCTGTCTACGCTGCTTTAATAATGTTATCTATTCTCACCACCTTCGTAGTTTGAGACGAGTGCCTATATTATGTATACGCCTCTCGTTAATTGTTTGAAGTGACAGATATACCTTTGAGAACCTATCTCTCATATTATCCGCCCCTCTTCTATTTGGAAATATCTTATAATGCATTCCATTGTACAAATTTTCAACGTTACTTAAACAGTATTACCTAAGTGTGATAATATGTTTAAATATATATATATTTCTATATTGACGTCGCTAGCCAGCAAGATCGAAGCTCCACCCATCCTTGTAATCATCCACTGTTTTATATTTTTTAGTTGTTTATTTTTCCATCGTGTTGCGGCGTGTTTTAACCAATAGGTGATGGGTTTGACTAATTTCTAATATTTAGTTTTTACATATTGCGCAGTTTTTGTAGAGACGATTGTCATATATCCATTATTATTATTAATAATTAAAAACTTAACGAGTAAATGTTAAATTATTTTTATTTTAATCAGAAAAATGACCATCAGTTAAATACAGATTTGTGTTAGTGTTTTATTTAGAGAATAAATTAACTTTTTATATTCCATTTTTTGTGTTTATAAAGATATTATTTTGAAAGAAAAAAATTCCGATTGACCAAACACAATATAAATTATTTTAATCTGTCTTAACTTATAACAACCTTCATTAGTAAAATAATAAAACAAAAAGTTTAATATAAGTATCACAAAAACCATATTTTATAGACGTGTACTAGTTATGCATTTTCAGTAGTGATGGGAATGAAATCTGGATTCTCCGAAAATCCGAATATTTGGGTTTCACATTGTGGATTTCTGTATTCTAAATCAGAAACTTAAATTTTTTGTTATAAATTCTAATCTAAAAATTTTCTATTTTAAATACAAAAATTATTTGAACTCTAAAATTGTAAAACCTATACATATTTTTATTTTTATTTATATATTTAATATATAAATATATATACCTAATATATTTAATAAAAGTATTATTTATTGCGTCTTTTTGGATAAATTATTCTGATACTTATAAATGTTGTTACTAATTTCATGCATAAATTTAATTTAGGTCGTAATATCTACATGTTATTGCGATATTGATAATTGTTGTTGTTGTTATATTTTTGCTTTAAAAGTTTTCCTATAAATATAAGGAATTCATACAAAATATATTATTAATCTATAGGGTAAGTAGTAAACCCTTACTCCTGAGGAAGAAAAACTATGAATATTACTATAAACTTGATCATTATCTTAGATTATCTTATGACTCAATGAGTAAAAAATAAGGGATGTATTAAATATTATAAATACTATAATAATTTATACTAGAAAATAGAAATTGTATTAATTTATTGGATTGTATACCGTTAAAGCTTTTTCAGTTAATTATCATTTCTATTTGAAACACACAAAAAAAACTAATATTATTTTATCATCTTATATCAAACTAGAAGTCTATGTTTTAATTGGCTGAAAAGTTTCGTGATCATTTTGGAAATATTTAATTAGCATTTTAGTGTAATACTCCTTGGTTTTAATTCTTTAGCATTTAAATATTTGTCACCTACTGTACTTAATGTACTTAATATATAAACACATAAAAAGATGAAAAGACATTCTATCAACACAAGATTGGCATTGTTTGTTCACGTGATATATATATATATATATATATATATATATATATAATTTTAAAGGGTTCTTAAGTAATTATTAATAAGTAAATAACTGTTGTATTTTATTGACATTACTGACGTAGAAATAAGTGACCTCGTCAATATTCGTTTGGACAATTTAAATTTTTTTTATATTAAAATATATTTTTTATTTATTTTTGTTTATTTTTAAATCATCTTGATTGATCATAATATTTTTTTTTACTGTAAGTATCTTTCATTTTATTTAGTGTTTTATATAGTTAAAGTTTTATAAGATAATATATAAGCCATAAAATAATATTTGATGAAAAAGTAATAATGTCTTGTTTGATAAAAAATTAGTTATTATTTGCTACTAAATTGTAAAAAATTAAGGCAAAAACAAATAATTTTAATTATAGAATTATTTCAATTACTACTGTGCAATTTTTATTGATAAAATAAGAAAGAATGAAGTTGCTTAACTGATCGTTTATTTTTTGTAAAAATAAAGCTAGTAGTGATATTTTAAAAATTCTAAAATTTAGATGTTTACTTTTTACCCGTGTAATTATAAATATAGACAATTATTAATTCAGAGACATGATATCGAAGTAGTAAGTTGCAAGTAAGCGCTGTAGTTAAACTACGCCGGGCGTTGGTCCTAGATTTTGAATACGTTTACATCCGGATTTTTAGGGGTGAAGCCATGTTTCCACAAAAAAACCTCGATTACTCACATACTAAAAAAATAACCATAAATCATACATGTATCTTTAAAGCTTAGCTATCGTAGGTCAATTAATATAACCAATGACCTTTAATACAGTTAAAATTAATAAGAAACGTATGTAATAAAAGTTAATAAAACATTATTTCATTGAGTTTTATTAGACTTATTAATAATTACAAGAGGTGATTTATTTAGAGGTTAATTTAAGAAATCATAGACATACTTTACTTTTTATTAAATTTAAATTGCTTTTTAATAATTGAAAATAATTAAAAATTAGGTACTAATTGTTATTATAATACACGTGTCTATTTCTTGATTAACATACTACAATTATGCATCTAGAGTATGTGTATTAATTTTATAACTTCAATGAATATCAGTCGTTATTATTTGTGAACTTCAATATTTTGACAGTCAAACCAAATCACAAATAAACAGTAATTAATAACGTTATATGAATGAGAACATTTTCGATATTTTTTATTTTTTATTATGTACAGTCTTGAAAAGTTGACCGGATGATTTAAATATAAAATAAATTATTATGATATTAAAATATTTTAAATAAACATTATTTTATTGTATAGTTGATCATATTGGTATTTTATATTTAATATTACAATTAAACACATAATATAAATATTTTGTACTAGTATAAATAATATTTTCTTACAAACATACTTTTTTATAATTTTTATGTACGTAGTAAAATAATATATTTTAATGAACTACTGTTTTAATAGTTATTATAGTTTGATGTTTTATAGGATATATTTAGATTTTTTAGGGTATTATCAGTTATGAATTAATTAATTATTATGAGTATAATTAAAGTATAATGATTAAAAGTTGTAAATTCATTCATATGGCTCATAACAGTTTTATTTTAATCGTTAGGTTACAATTAAGAATTATTAATACTATATACAAATTAAAAAGTAAAAAACATATTAAATTTTACTGTTCACGTATATGGTAAAATAATACATACATACACATGTTACGAAATAAATATTTCAATCCTAAATGATGTTTCTTAACATAGTTAACATTTAATACATTCTCAAAACAGTTTTTAGTGATCAAGTATCTATTACCATGTGTATGAATTTCGCAACCTAAGGGGGCTACGTGTGACGTCGGCCATGCGCGTGCAATTTACATGTATCTACTTCGAATAGTTTTTATTATTTGTCTAAACTATATTAAATATTGAATTCCGTTTTATCTTGTATCAATTATCATTCGAGCTTTAATAATTACTGAATTATATTTCTTCCTATGACCTATAGAATGCTCTATACTATCACTGTATAACTGCATTGATTAACGAAAAATATTGTGCATTATGGTGGCATACCAATGTAGGTAGTCTGTATCTACATCATATTATAGTAGTTTTCGAAGATTAGTCGGTCGGCTTATTTATCCCGCCGGAAAAAATACAATAATTATAATAATAATATAACATATACATATTTATATTTTATATATTATTTTATAAACTGTTCTCATTTAGAAGACATAATCTCGGAATCATCTTATACTATTATAAAGTTATAAATTATGTGATCTATATTTCTAAAAAAAAAAAAAATGGCTATATAAATTCTCCCTCCCCTCACACCAGAATTTTTAAAGAACTTACACATTTTTAGAAAGATTGTTTTTCTGTACTATCAAAGTATATTTATTCATAATTTCTATCTAACTACATCGTATAGTAAAGTATTACCATTGAAATTGAATTGGCTTAAAAGAGGATATGAAGACAGAGATAATATTTCTGCATCACCTAATCATCTGACGGACGGTCGTCGACAACAGCAACAATGCCAACGTTGATTAATATTAAAAAAAAAAAAAAAAAAACTATAGTAATAAATAATATAATGTTAGATCGTATATTCGTCGATGTTGCTTTTGTTATCAGTCCCGAGGCCCTCATTGTGCCGGCGACTGCGTGATAGTCTTCCCAGTTTTCGATTTCTAATAAAGGACTACTACTTCTACTAGATACTGATATTAATGCTACCATTACTACTAGATTTCTACTATTACTATGCTAGGTGTTTCGTTT